CTTTTTTTTTTGGGAGTTCATTTATTCACACCGTTCCTAAGGAGAAAAAAGAGAGGGGAAAGGAGTAAGAAGACCAGAGTTGCGAGACCATCTCTGTGTGCGTCGTTGGGCTCCCAGCCTTAAGATTTGGTCTCCAAGCTTGCCGGATAATGGTCTTTCTGGTGGTGGGGTGATCTACGATATAGGGGTGGATCGAAAGTGGGATAAAGGTTGGTGGCCCTTAGTTTCGAGCGTTTTTATTGATGTATATATCTAATATATTGTAGCCAAAAACGTTCGAGAGTTATTTAAGAAAACAAAAAAACCTTTGAGGTTTCGATGTGCGTGGTGGTACGATTCTTATGGTTGTGGTGATGCGGTCTTTTAGTAGGGGTGGCGTGTGGAGAGCTTTGGATGATATTTCAACTGCACATTTGCATCTCTCGGGTTCTTCTGCATTCTTTGGATTTTCAATTGTCAACTCATTGTCAGAGGTTTTGAGCTGTGCTATGATTTTCTATAAATCTTTCTTTTTAAAGTGAGTTGCTAGAGTATTTTATTACACATAAAAACAAGACTGAAACAAATAAAAAAAAAAGGAAAAAAAATACGATCAAGAAAGAAAGTTAAACGAGGCATTAAAAAATAAACACGTTAAATGAGACAATCTCTAGAAACATATAAAATTCTTAGTGAATATTTAGTTCATTTATTCAAAATTATTTTTATTTTATATATATTTTTTATAAAAAAAATCACTATAAAAAATAATAAATCATAATTTAAAATAAAAAACTAATAAAGAAAACAAGCGTCCTCTTAATAACCGAGAAGAGCAGCTTGACTTTAGAGGCTCATGGTCCGTTTAGTTCGCTGATTTGAGTTTTTAATTTGAGTTGAGATATGACTTTATGTGAGAGTTTTTTACTGTAACAAAAAAATTAAATGTAATTATTTGTGAGAGCTTTTTACTATAAAAAAACTCGAATTCTAAACTCGAATCAACGAAATAAATGGGACATCATTAATCTCAACCGCATGATATTCTCCAACTCCAAAGTGGGCCACCACTTTCACACCCTTTGCCTCCAACATCTTCACCAACTCAGCCTGACGGTCAAACAGTGGGTCCCCATCCAACCCAGTCACCATCACCTTCCATCCCAACGACCCAAGTTGCTCCACGGCCTTAGACCCGCCACCCACCGTAACAATACACAATACTCATGATCGCGGTCAACGCCAATGGGCAGAGCCAACTCCCACGCCAGATCACCAATACAAAGCAAAAAAAATGAAAGTCATTCACCAGCCTCAACTCGGACCCACTCCTCTGGGTCCCACCAAAGAACGGCCGATGCAATATTAGCCCTCGGATCGTGATCGGCTGGGGACGGGCAACCCCCCCCTCCCACCAAAGAACGGCCGATGCAATATTAGCCCTCGGATCGTGATCGGCTGGAGACGTGCAACCTCCGCCGCCGATCGCAGCCCGAGTTGGTAGGCTATGTTCCCTCCGGCGCTGTCGCCCATCAGAAAACAGTTCGATGAGTAGGCGTAATTTCTCAGCCAATCGTCTCCGGCGGTTAGAATCCAGTGCAGCACTTCCATGGCATCGTCGTACGCCGCCGGAAGACGGTGTTCCGGAGCCAGACGGTAATCAACCGAGATGACGACGGCGCGAAGTTCGGCAGCCAAGTTGACGACGTAATCATGAGATAGGGTTGAAGATGCAATAAATAGAATGAACGCTCCACCATGAAAGTTGTAGTTATGAGAGATAGTTAAGGCACGTGGATTTTATTGAGTTTTTAATTTTAAATTTTTATAGTAAAAAATTTTTAAAAAATATCACTTTTAATTTTTGTTTGTTACATTAAAAAATATTATATTTTAATTTGAATTAAAAGTTTAAATAAGGAATGAAATCTTAATTTATGAGAGGGGAAGAATCTAGTGCTTCGCGTGAAGAATAGTCGGAGCCAGGTGTTTTTTGATTGGTTTATTGGGATGTCTTTTAAGAGAGCGAGTGGAGCGAGGTTGGGATCAGATGAAGCGGGCCCTTTCCGGGAATTTGAGCAATCGGGTGACTGGGCCGTCGTCGTTGAGCGAAAGATGGAGTCTCTGGTACGGATGGATTGTTGGAATTGGATTTGCTCGTTCAATATGTGCCGTCTGATCCGTGGACATTGTACACTTTTGTTTGGTGATCTGATGATGAAGTTGGAGAGTATCATTATAGAGTTGTAGTGATGAATATAATTTGTAAGTGTACAAATGTCGCCGTTAGGTGGGTTCTTGTTAAAGGTTTATGTACACGTACTTTAGTACTTGGCAAGAAGTATAAAACAGTGACCAAGCATGAGTTTTTTTTTTTTTAATAAATAGTTTTACACATAATAGATTAGATGGTTATACAATGAGGAAATAAATTAAAGTGGTTTTTTTTTTTTGAAACTGAAATTAAAATGATTAGAAAAAATGAAAACTGAAATCTATATATTTATGAAATTTATATAGCTGACTCTAATTTAATTAAAATTAAAGCTTGTTGTTATTATTATAGAAAAAGTGAAAAAAGTAGGAAAAAAAAGGAAGTGGAAACTAGTTTGATGCCTGAATATGTATTTCCTGCATTAGTCGTTTAAAAGATAGTGATTAATTAAATATTTTATACTTGTCAGTATTAGTATTAGGCCTCGTTCACTTCGCGGATTTGAGTTTTTAATTCGAGTTGAGATGTGACATTTTTTTAGAATTTTTCACTGTAGTAAAAAGAGTTAGATGTGATATTTTCTGAAAAATTTGTACCGTAGAAACTTAAAATTAAAAACTCAAATGGGTGAAATGAACGAAACTTTAGGCCCCGTTCATTTCGCCGATTCGAGTTTAGAATTCGAGTTTTGCTACAGTAAAAAGCTCTCAGAAACAGCCACATCTAACTTTTTTGCTACAGTAAAAAGTTCTCACACAAAATCACATCTCAACTTGAATTATAAATTCGAATCAACGAAGTGAACGAACCCTTAGTATTCTCACTAGTTTAAATTATTTTTAAAAATTTTTAATAGCATAATTAACATCAAAACTGATAAAATTATTAATAATAGCTGACACCAAAGCAACTTTTTTTTTGTATTTTAATATTTAACAAACACGACAAAGTCAAGCGTGAATCGTTAGCTTTGAACCATTAGCTCTTAAATAACACAGCTGGCTAAAAACTAAAGAGCTATTAGTCCATTTCGTTCATAAATTTAGATTAAAATAAATTAAAATAAAAATATAATTTTTATAAGATAAAATACCGTGGAAAAAAAAATTTAACAGTAAATTAAACTTACGAAACAAATACACAGTATACTATCATGGTGAGATAGATATTATATATCAATATTTTGTTTTTAATAATTACTAGAGTGTAATACCTAAATTACAAAGTACATTTAATTTTATCAATTTAAATTTTTAATTTTAGTTTTATTACAATTAAAAAATCTTATAAAAGTTACATTTAATTTTTTTTATTACAGTTAAAAATTTTCACATAAAATTATATTTCAACTCAAATCCGTAAACTGAACAAACCCTAATTTCCTTAACCATCACAGAAGATTATAGATAATATTAACATTTAAGGGGTTGTTCTTTTGCAATAAAACTCAGAAAAAGTTTAAACTCGCGTTATAATTTTATTTAAGTTCATGTTCTTTTGTAAAACTTGAATTTGAACTCGAATTTACGGTTAAACTCGTGTTTAAGTTTTCCCTTCAACTCGAGTTCATAAACTCGAACTCAAGTTAATGAGTAGTATTTTTTTCATTCTTAAAAATGTTATAATTTTTTCGTTTTAATTCTGATTGAGATGATTTTTTTCTATGCATTCACAATGAAAAGGCGAATAAAACTCTACCCATATACCATATTAAAATTTTTCATTACCATTGAGTTTTTAGTAAAATATTATTTAAATACAAATTTAAATTTTGACCTACCCAAACATAAATTTAAAAAGACTCTCAATTTAAATCATAACTCAAATATGCACATCCAAATACAAACTCAAATTACAATTTTAACTCAAGTTATATCTCAAACTCAACTCAAAATTATTATTCAACCCACCCTAACTCAAAAATGCAAAATAACAACCCCTAAAACTTTGATAATATTAAAATTTGAAACTTTAAAATAGATAAAAGGGCCGCCGCCTTACAAGTACATGGCTCCACAAACTCCACCCCATAATGATTAGTGGACAATCAACGTCACAAATGACTCACGGATATCGGCTTGGCCTTGTCCTCATCATGACAAACGTGATTTGAGGATCAAGACGCAAGCGGGTCCGTCAAAAGTATTGAATCAAAACAATATTTTTTTATCTTCCATTATCCAATTCAATCATATAAACTCTTGGAAACCCAACCAACCCAATCAAATAAGCTGCCGTTACAATGCTGTTATAATTTCACTCCATATGTCCTAATTGACTAGAATGCGAATAGATGAGGTCGTTAGTTTTCTGCCTAAAATTAAGGTTAAAGTTGACATTTTGTATGTTATTTGCTAATACATATGATACTTGAAATATTTTGCTGCGGTTTATGATCTTCTGACTTGGATTTTCAAAATGAATAGAGTTTTGATTTCCAATTAAAAAATGTACTTGAAGTTGACCAATATGAAACATTTGACTGCTGGTGGATGATAGTGATCCATGATTCAATACCAAATATGAAGTTAGAACTTCAGTTTTCTGCTTAGTGGCTTAAGTCATAATGACGAGTTATCAACAACGAAGAAAACAGAAAAAGGGATAAGAATGAATGGACTAATATATAGGAAAACCAATGTTAAAAAGCATTATTGCATTATTATTTCGATTTCATACCACTAATGGTCTAATAGGACAACCAAATATTAAAAAGCGTTATTGCATTATTAGTTCTATCTCATGCCACTAATGTAGGACAACTAAATATTAAAAATTAGCATTATTGCATTTCTATTTGATGCCACTAATTGTTACATTGTATGAAATCTTTGACCAAAACAAACAATTCCTTGGCTTTACTCAACTCCATTAGCTCCACTCCATGGTAATCTCCTTGGTGAAACTGAGCCACTACCGCAACTCCCTTCTTCTTCAACGTCTCCACAAACTCCACTTGGCGATCAATCAGAGGGTCTCCATCACAGCCAATCACCAACACCGGCCACCCCATCACTCTGATCCGATCAAAATTCTCGCAACTTTTATCATCGTCCTTTGGATTGCAATACCCGTGATCACGGTCAACCCCAATCGGCAACGCCAGCTCCCACATCAGATCGCTGCCACTGAGAGGCAAAATCGGGTTGTTGGCCAACCTCACCTCGGAGGCCGTCCTCCTGACCCCGCCAAAGAAAGGATGGTGCAATATCAGCCCTCTGATCTTCAACGGCGCAAGCTCATCAACGGCTGAGGATGCACGTAGTCCAGCGTGGTAGGTTATGTTTCCACCGGCGCTAGTGCCCATCAGAAAACACGAGGAAACATCACAAAACTCGCGCAGCCATGTTTCTTCAGCGGATTTCATCCAGTGCAAAGCCTCCACGGCGTCTTCATACGCCGCAGGAAGGCGGTGCTCCGGAGCGAGGCGGTAGTCAACAGAGACGACAACGGCGGCGAACTCGGCAGCCATTTTGGAGCAAAAGTCGTGGTTCATACAAGAAGAGGCGCTTAACAAGATGAAGCCACCACCGTGGTAGTACACGACAAGAGGGAGTTTTTTGGTGGTGGGATGATTCTGCATTGCTTGAGAAGGCAAGAAGATCCGGATCCATGTATGTCGGGTCGGGTTAAGTGGGACATCTTTGGTGAGGACTGGGGAGAGGTTGGTGGTAGGATCCGGTGCGGTGGGGGTGCTTGGAAATTGGAAGAGACGCGTGATGGTGCCGTCCGGGTTTGGGACGATCTTGAGGTAGTCTTTGGCATCAACGGTGGAGTTTGAGATTGAGTTTTTGTTTTCATGATCACTAGACATGGTTGACGACTTTGGTTTGGAGGATGAGGGATAGTGGAATGTGATAATTGGTTGCATGTGGTTTTAGTTGCTCAGGGAATGCTATAATTATAATATAGAATTATAAGGAGTAGAACCACAACCATTTACATATTGCGAATAATACAGGTTGGAGCTAATTGGAACCACGTTCATTTCATATAATAATATTACTGAAACAGCGCAAGTTTTTAACAAGTATGACATATTTTATGGCCCCGATAACGTTTGGTGATTTTTTTTTTAACACACTTTTTGTGTTTTTTAAACAGAAAAGTCATTTTCTTTTTTTTTTTCATAAAGAAACGAGTTCAATAAATTTTTTTTCTCAATGAATTATTGCAAATTTTTAAACAGAAGAAAACAAAATTCATGTTGTCGAAAGAATTTCAAAATAAAAATTTTAGTTTGTACTCACTTTGTGAAATTGATGTACTTTGTTCCAAAATTGCGATAAGATCAGATTGTTAGGCTAGGGTTGGCTCTCAGGTTGAACTGGCTTCCTGTAGTCAGACCGCGCTCCACATCAAGACGAGATTACTAAGTGCCTATTTGAAACCCATTTCAAAAACATTTTTCACGTTTTCCAATGAGAAAAAAATGAAAATGCTCTGAAGATTGCGTTTGGCACCGCACAGTATGAAAGACAAAAATGAAAAAGTTTTCTTCTTTCTCTCAAAATTTTAGAAATTCTGAAAACGATTTGTAATAGTTTTCCTTTTCCCATTTTCATTTTTTCCGGTCTTATTCCTATGTTGCAATATGTGACGTAAGGTGTAGGTAAGAGATGTAATGAAGATGCAAGATGAGCTCCACTCACCCATACAGTTTTGTATATCTCAATATATTTGAAAGATGATTGTAATTGAATTTTTGCATTTCTTTTTTTCTTAGAAATCAAAAGCCAGTCGTATTTGAATTTCTTTTTTACTAATCATTCACTAAGTAATCTTATTTGTAATTATTTACTAATTATTTGTAATGTACTTAAAAAAAACAGATTTGTAGTTGACATGCTTAGGAGAAGTATTTTATTGCTAATGCTAATTACTATGTTCTTATATATAAATTAACTAATAATATGTGTGTATGGTAATTGGTATCCTAATTGTTTACTATTTATGTATACCAAGACAACTGATAAGTAGTAACTATAAAATATTTACATATAGCATATATATATATATATATATATTAATTATTAGTGTATTAATTGGGGAGTTTATTAATTAATTAACTTATATATTATTTAAAGTACTATTATATATTTTTAAAAATGTAAAAGCAAATAGAGTTTCAGTTTGAGATTAAAAACGTTTTCATTTCTATTTTTATATACAAAATAAAATTATTTTAGAACGGGTTCCAAACGCGCTCTAATTTTTTTTCTTTTTGTTTTTTATATATAAAATAATATTGTAGTTACATCGTATTTTTTGTCTGTATTATCAAAACGAAAAATAAGATAAAGTGTTTTTACTTTTTGTTAAAAAAAATAAATAGAAAACGTCCCCAAATGAAGGCAAATTTTTAGGTGTGGATGACTTGAGAGAAAAGGAAAGGGATATCCAGCTAGATTATTACCTTAATGAGAAAGTAATAAAACATATAAATCAAAATGATACATAAAGTATTGATCAATTTGCTCTATTTTGCAAATTAAGGCAGCTATGAATCAATGGATTTAACTTAATAATAAGGACGATGGAGGTTTTGAGGGCCCCAGAGATTTTGAGGACGCAATAACTGGAGCGCTTCATTGAAAAAGGGAAATCTAGGGGAATGGCTCTCTAGTGGCTTTTATTATAAATACATCAGAAATAGTAGAAAATATGTCAACATGAAAAGCTTAAGAAAGTATAAAGGTCAACTTTTAGTTATAGAAATTAATATGTCATAATTTATCAAGTTATGATTCATAACCAGATAAGTTATGGACAAACTTATCAAGTTATGGTTTATAGCTAGACAAGTTATGGACAAAAATTGTGATTTATGGATAATAACTTGTCAAGTTATGATTCATAACCAAACAAGTTATTGACAAAAATAATAATTTAATTTATTTATTAATTTATGTAAATTATTGACTTATTAATTTTAATTCATCTCAACTCTTAATTTATTTTCCTCTTTCTCCCTGAATACATTTGCACAAAAGTCCATTAATATTAAAGCCAGTCTCGTAGTAGCTGGACTTCAAGTTTAGCCCACATACTAGAAAAGTCTCTGGACCAAACTACATGAAGAGGACTAAAATAGGGTGTGGGTGTCTTTGAAAATTGTTAAAATTATAAAAATGAAAAATCTGCTCTCATTAACTTCCTTGAATTCTACCATACTAAAGTTGATTAGAAGAAAAAAAGTAACGTTGCATAAATCTTATAATTCAGCTTAATTAAAAACGACCATAAATCTTTGTCCCTCTAATGAAGCGTCATTTTTTAACGTTTCAAAAGTTTCACAAAGAAAATGTCATCATTTTCCATTTACCAAGCTTCTTTTTTTTTTTTTTTTGAGAAAAACTTAAATTATATAATGTTAATTGAAAAAGCTCGGAGTGTTAAATACCACCATTAATAGAAGATGAACCTTATTTGTAAGTCTCATGTTATAAGATTTAAGCTCCGTTTATTTCGCCGATTTAAGTTTTATTACAGTAGAAAACTCTCATAAACAGTCATATCTAATTTTTTTACTATAATAAAAAGTTCTCACATAAAATTACATCTCAATTCAAATTAACAAACTAAACAGACCCTTATTATTTGTTAATAGATGGTATTGAACAGCATCAAGTGTAAAATAACCTTGTTCTCACTAATTAATTATTAGTCCGCCCGTATCCGCTAAAATATCTCCCTCTTTAGATGTATACTTGGAAATTACTACGTACAAAGCCGTATAGAGTAGCCTCTAGGCTTTATGATGGATTGGGCGCTGACTCTAATCACTTTAATTCGATAGAGCAAATAATATTTTTATATTTAGGCCGACAACACAGGAGATAAGGGGAGCTAATTTGCTGCTTTTTAACTAATTCAAAAAATTCCACTATATAGACTGCCGAACTTGGTCATAAAGTCACGGTTGTCATCAGAGTCAGCGTCTCCCATAATGGCCTTCCACGAACAACCTTAATGGTAATGGTAAGAGTAGTTATAAAATTACAATAAAGTTTAGCAACTATTGACTTTGGTGCTCATCACATTCTAGGGGGCAACATAAATTTGTTCTCTGTCAATACTATTGGCCATATTATAGATAGCATTTTCGCGGAAGAAAAGTATTAATTATTAGTGAAATATATAACGTTGAAATCAGCAAAATGACTTGTTGATGTTTTGATCCACTTTTTTTTTTTTTTTTTTTTTTTTTTTTTCTTTGCAAATAGCTTGGTAGGATGTGGTTCCTGATCACCATTTTGTATACCAACTACTGCTAGCTAACAGCTAGAACTCTCCGTGATACTTCAAACTGTCATAGTTTTTTTAGTAGCTTTTTATTATTTTTAGCTTTTGCTAGTTGTAAGTCTATCGGCTAACTAGTTCGTTGTGCTTTCTGAACTTTGTAATTTTTTTTTTTTTTGTTTTTTGTTTTTTGAATAATATTGATATCATAGTAATTAAGATAGATTATCAGTATTTTGATTGGATACTAAATTAATTAATTATCATTAGTAATTTAATTGGGCGCCAATCTAATTCAGATGTAACAAAAATTCTAGAATTTTCTTAAGTATCCCATCTATTCGAAAAAGAAAAATGCACGCATTGGGTTTTGCATTCAAGAATATTAGGCAGCCCCATAAAGTTACTCCAGGTCATATCTCAATTTTGGTTGCAAAACTTTGTAACATGCTCTGTCATTGCAAAAGCTTTGTTTAGCCTGTAACGCAATCTTGAAGCTGCGTGTCTGACCAAAAAGAAACACAAATCTTTAAGATGCGTACGACTCAAAATTGTGGATTCATAAACTTTAGATTCGGAAAAGAGAATGAAGAAAATGAAAAAATAAAAATAAAAATAAAATCATCACAGATCACATTGAAATCCAAATCATGACCATGCCACATACTGCTAAAAAGTTGGCAGTAGTTGGGTTTTATGTGGTGCAGTGGTACCAACATGGAGACATAAGTGTCCCCACTTTTCAGACCCAATAGGTTTTGTTGCCATAAGAGTTTGCAGAGATTCTACCATTACTGAAGCATCGACATATACACACACACACACATATATATATATATATATAT